ACAGAAACAACATCCAGACTGATGGTATCAAAATGTACCCTCACTCAGACGCGCACGGGTGCATAGCATTGACATGTAACCCAGCTTCCTCTAATTAAAGGTTGTTCCACATTCTCTGTGAAACCATGTCCCTGGTTGTGGTTTGATCCAAGTGATAATGAGTAAGGAGAGTGTCCCCAGCTGACCTCCACTTAAACTTTGGCTTCAAACAACACAGGCCTGTGTTTATTGCAGGCTGTTAAGAAACGCGATGCCCTGTGAATCTCCGTGTTACTGCAGAGGCTGCTGGAAACTGCAGCGTGTTTTCTTGAGCTTTGTTCCCCGAGGATCCTCCTGGTTTGGTGCTAATTAATCGACGCATAAACTTCTGGTGCTCGAGACGGAGGTGCTGAAGAGGAATAATTTGCTGTAGCACACCAAATAGCCGAATTAGCCTCTCTGGCGCGGTCAGAAGTAGCCCGGCGTCGGCCATTGTTATTATTGCGTGCATTTTCCAGATTGATTCCATTCATTTGATTACGTGGTCACACATATCAGCTACAGTTCGTTGTCTTTTAACTTGTGAGGAACAACTGCGAACATTTATTTTTGTCTCTGCGTCATGGAGTTCATTGCAGCTCGTCCTAATGTCAAAAGTAGCAGTAGCGCAGCGCTCGCAGTTGTCTGTTTACCCTTGATCTAAATAAACCTGTCACACGATCTCTCAAAGCTACTATCTACCTCTGCTATTTGGTACAAAGATTTAAAAGCTTTGTCCTGTGCTGGAGGGTGGAGGGGGGGGGAGACTTTTACCCATAGCTTAGTCTCACTCTCTGTCAGGCTCCTGTGTTTCTCTCCTCTGTCAGCACAGTGCTGAGTGAGCGGCTGGTGGTCCGTGTTTACCTTATTAATTAGCCCAGTGATCCAGAAACACTCTCCCTCTGGTAAATAGAATAACACTGAAAGGTTACTGAGGGCCCTGAGGTGAGTGCAAGGAAAATACGAGACGAGGTAGAAGCCTACGAGAAGAGGGGGAAAAGGGAGAGAGAGGGGGCGTTGGATAAAGTGTTAGCATTGTCAGCTTGCTTTGTAGCCCATGTGAGTGAAGTTCCGAGGAAACCTCAAGTTGTCGTCCTGCAGAATCCAGAGCCTTCAGTCAACATCCTTACGATCATCCTCTCCATTTACGTTTTTTGTTTTTTAAATACGGCGCTAGTTTTTTTTTTTTTTTTTTAAATACGGCACTAGCTTCTTCAAGTGTCCTTTTTAACAGGCAGGTCGGAGCCGAAGGTCGAGGTGTACGTGTTTAGCCGCTTGATGGCGTAAATCGTTGGCTGTGACCAGGGTTTATTTAGACTTGTTTCATCTGAGTCATTACAAAGTCCAGGGCTCAGGTATGCTTTGCATCTTTCCCGTTGAGATGTTGAAACAGATGCACATTCGGGACCAGCCCAAACCCTGAATCAGACCTTATAGAGACAAATAGATTCGCCTGAAAGCACTTTTATGAATCCATTCCAACAACGTCCAAAAGCTCGCCTCCATTTTGGGCCACATCTCAGTCACGGCTTCTGGAGTTTGAGGCCAAACATGGAGAGCCATCAGAGGAAGGAGCAGTAAAACGAATTGTATTAGCAATACTGAGTTTTCCCTGGGTTACCCTTTTCAAAGAAGCCAAGGGGAAAATGTGTTTTTCATTAGTCACTGATGGTTTGAACCAGGTTAAAGGTCACATTATACGGGTCCTTCACAGAGAAGCTTGTTTTAGGCTCACGAGTTAATCATTGTGTAGTAGCCTGAATCATAAATATTTTTTTGTACACTCATCGGAGCAGAAAAAGTCCTCTCCAGTGAGTGTTGTTGAGTGCGTCTCTTTGTGCTCGCTTTTATGTGCGTGTTCTAAACCTTATCTACTTGACATAAAGCTGTCATGTTAACATGTCCAGTGAAACTCGGTAGTAGATTTACTCCCCATCCTTCTTTTTTCCCCCCTCTTCCAGGCAGCGAAATTCCTAGTTAAGAGTTCCAGTCATTTCGGGCTTCGTTTTACCACTAATTACAACATTCTGGGATTTTACTTTGACAGCAAAACAGCCTAAAAAAAAAAACCAAAAAACCCCTAAACAATTTTTGCCTCCAGCCCAGTTAGTTAATACTGCACTTGAAATGACCAGAGCGCTAATGATCTGATTGCTTGTCGCAGACAATGACCTTGTTGCTCACTTTCTGTTCCTTTTTGAAATATATAGTGCAATATATATATGTATAGGTTATATTTATACATATATACTATATGTGTGTATATATATGTATAGGCTATATGTATATATATTCATATATATATTTATATATGTATGTGTATATATATATTTATATGTGTATGTATATATATATATTTATATATGTATAAGTAAGTAGTAAGTAAGTCTTAAGTAGAGTTCCAAGTAAGTAAATCTAATAGAAATCCAATGTTTCCCCCCCACTCCTCTTTCACCTTCCTGAGCCCGCTGCAGTTTTGAAGGCATCACAAATTTTGTGTCCTTATATTTTCTCCACCTGTAGCTCCCGTATCACTGCCCCTGACCTGTTGTTCCTGCGTCGTTTATCTCCTGCGGCCCTGCTGCGATCACGTAGTCATATCTGATTTTGCGACTTCCTTTTCTTCCCTCCTTTTTCACCTCCGCCCGACATGACCGCTGCTGCTCGCTGCATACCGGACACCGCTGCATTGCTCCCATAAGGAGCTAACGAGAAGTCCAGATAGAACTTTGACTTTGACTTTGACTGAACCGAGGCTTTAAAGCCTGTGTGTTCGTTTGCTAAGTGTCATCAGAACTTCTTTTTTTAGACTTCATTAGGGTTTTTTTTTTTTTATGTTTCTGCACTCCATTTTAAAGTGGAGTTGTTTATTCACCGATGTAGTTGAGTTTTTATTGAGATCTAAAAAAAAAAAAAAAAAATTACGGTCTCTGTAGTTTATATCTTTTTCCTAGCATCTTGATGTCAGTTGCCAGAAAGTGGCTCAGTTGGAAAGATTGTCTGCCTTATCTGAAAGGGAATGTGGATAGAAGAGTAAAGTACTATGGTAAGGCCACTGAAAGTCCTGACAGTCCCATTGTTTTTACTGCTTTTACTGGTTCAGAGCTGGATGCGTTTGCTGTTACTGAAAATAACCTGCAGATGAAAAAAGATGCCATGCAGTCCTCCCTCGTAGAGCACTTTTCACATTGCCTCATGTTTTGATTTTAAAAATACAAAATTTTGATTTATCTCCCTCTCTTTGTCTTGCAGCCCGGCAAAGCCCCTACGATTCCCCAAAAGGTATGAACTGCCAAAAAAGGTTTCTTCTTTGTTGATGTCCTGGATTACAAAGGTCCACTTTCCTCCTTCCACTCCTTTTATTGTTGTTAGCCATCCATCACTGCTCACGTGGATCCATCATTCCTAAGTAGTGAGTCATGAGAATTATTGATGGGAGTTGTGAGTCTTGTGTGTACCTGGCCTTTGTTAACCAGCAGTTCCATCTCCATCTCCTAGTTACAAGCCTGCTCGACCGAGTCCCTCACCAACATTCATCTACTGTTTCGATTGAATTGAGATTAATCAACATTTGTAAATATGTATTGCAAAAACAAATTTTTTTTTTTATTTTTGCATGAAACAAATAGTTTTTTTTTTTTTATTTATGCATGAAACAAATGGCGGGATTAATTGAAAAAGAAATCAAGAAAAATAGATGTATAGCTCTAAATTCAACTACCTTTAGTTTAGTTCCAGTTTATGATTTTAGTCAGACTAGAACAGAATATTTTTGTAATAAATAAATGCATTAATTTTGACAGCCTTATTAAAAATAAATAAATATCTGTAAAACAGGATAAAACCCAGTCATTTTTTCAATTTACTATGTTTTTTTTTTTTTTCACCAAATGTTGTGTCCTTAATTACAGTTATGCTGAGCTAATAGCCGATTGGCCAGTGGTGGTGCTGGGAGTGTGCACGGTCCTCATAGTGGTGTGTGCCCTTATCGGGGTTCTGGTGCCTGACCTGCCTGATTTCTCTGACCCTCTGTTGGTGAGTACAGTCTCACTCCACTCTACTTTTCATGGTACTTTTTTTTTAAAAACTGAAAACTGAATATACAGGTAGAACTTTTAATTCATTCGTTTTTTTTTTTTCTCATCCTAAAGGGTTTTGAGCCACGAGGAACAGCCATTGGCCAGAGACTGGTCACGTGGAACAACATGGTGAAGAACACGGGCTACAAAGCTACGCTGGCCAACTACCCCTTTAAATATGCCGACGAGCAAGCCAAAAAGTAACTTTGCACGACTTCATACACACCCTTGCTCTCTCTTTCAGTGGTTCAGTCAGTAAAGGAAATAACATTTTTTTTACTCTGAAAAAAAAAAATCAATCCTTTGAAATGCAACCTGTTCATCCACCGCTGTCCTAATCGTCTTATTCTTCACCCCACGTCTGTCCACAAATCCTGTACCTGAGACGTCTCCTGCTGTCAGCGAGCGTCTCCTGTCTAATCCACCGTATCCGTCAGCACCTCAGTCCTTTTTCTGAAGGCCGATTCCTCTGCATTTCTTCTTTTTTTTCCTTCAGCGTCGTGCAGAAAAAACACAATAGCAAAAAAAAAAAAAGTTTTTCAATCGTTTTAATGACGCTCAAAGACTTATTCACCGGCCTCAAATCAAGTTTCGAGGATAAGCTCAATGTCCCCCCACCCCCCGGTTCTTCAGAGAATTATGTGATTTCGGGAGGGAACAGTAATCACTCCTGATTGGTCCATCACTGAGCTTCAACTGAAGTCATCATGAAAACAACGCCGCTCTTTGTTTACGATCTTTAGTTTCCCAGCGTGCCACGTCATTTCAAAATCATGTTCCCGGTTTGGTCCCACACTTTAAACTCGATGTTCCGTAAACTTGTTCTACACGTCCAGTGTTATAAAAACACACATTATCTTTTTTGTCTTTCAGTCACCAGGGACCCAGGTGGCCCGAGGACCACTTTGACAGAGACAAACGAGATGCAGAGTGGGACTTCAGCAAAGAGTTTTTCTGTGACGTGCCAGGTAGGTTTTTTTTTTTTTTTTTTAATGATGCGAAGTTGGGTTAAATTAATTTTTTTTTTTTAATTCAGTGGCAATCCGAACAAATCCATTTAAATTTACTTTAATTCATTAATTACTTTGATTTAACCCATTTTAAACTGACCTTTCCTAGGTGACAGCTACTCCCGGTTAGTGTTCACGTCTGCGGAGGGGAAGAGCCTTTGGAGCATTCAGGCCATTAAATCCATGTGCAATCTGGACAACACCAGGGTATGATCATGGAACTGAACAGACCTCGTGTATTTCCTGATACTCCTCCCGTATGTATTCGCCTTATTTATTTATGATTTTTTTTTTTTTTTTAATGTGGCCTCAGGTACGTTCTCACCGTGACTATTGGAGTCTGTGTCAGCGCACCAACGACGCCTCCTGCTGCCCCAGCTGGACACTTGGCAACTACATTGCCGCCATCACCAACCGGTCGTCCTGCCAGAAGATCACCGAGCGCGACGTGTCCCACACACTCAAGACACTGCGCTCCTGCGCCAAGTACTACCACAATGGCACACTGGGTCCAGACTGTTGGGACGTGGCCCTGAGACGGAGGGACCAGTCAAAGTGCGGCAACGTGCCGCGGAAGTGTACGAAGTACAACGCCGTGTACCAGATCCTGCACTTCCTGGTGGACAAGGACTTTCTCAGTCCCAAAAGTCTGGAGTATCCTCCGCCTGTGCTGAAATACAGCATGCTCTTCTCCCCCACAGAGAAAGGGGAATCTATGATGAACATTTACTTGGACAACTTTGAGAACTGGAACTCGTCCGATGGAATCACCACGGTCGCAGGGATCGAGTTCGGCATCAAACACGATCTTTTCCAGGACTACCTCCTCACAGACACCGTGTACCCAGCCATAGCTATTGTGATTGTCCTGCTGGTCATGTGCGTGTACACGCGCTCCGTTTTCATTACGCTGATGACGATAATCGCCATCATCAGCTCCCTGATCGTGTCGTACTTCCTCTACCGAATGGTCTTCAACTTTGAGTTCTTCCCCTTCATGAACCTCACCGCCCTCATCATCCTGGTGGGCATCGGGGCGGACGATGCCTTCGTGCTGTGCGACGTGTGGAACTACACGAAGTTCGACAAGCCTCAGGCGGAGCTGTCGGAGACCGTCAACGTGACCCTGCAGCACGCCGCCCTCTCCATGTTTGTCACCAGCTTCACCACTGCTGCAGCGTTTTACGCCAACTACGTCAGCAACATCACGGCCATACGATGTTTTGGCGTCTATGCAGGAACCGCCATTTTGGTCAACTACATCCTGATGGTGACGTGGCTTCCAGCCGTGGTGGTGCTACATGAACGCTATCTGCCTAATGTGTTTTCTTGTTACCAGCCCGCGCACCAGCAGCGAGGTCACTGCTCCACCATGTTTTGGGCGGGCCTTTGTCAGAAGGCCAACAAGTGCCTGTTTACTGTGACGGAGGCGTCGAGGATCTTCTTCGAGAAGGTGCTGCCCTGCATTGTCATCAAGCTGCGCTACCTCTGGCTCTTCTGGTTTCTGGCCATCACAGTGGGCGGGGCCTACGTGGTTTGCGTCAATCCAAAGATGAAGCTTCCGTCTCTGGAGCTGGCCGAGTTTCAGGTGTTCCGATCCTCCCACCCCTTCGAGCGCTACGACGCGGAGTACAAGAAACTCTTCATGTTTGAGAGGGTTCACCACGGAGAGGACCTCCACATGCCGATAACCATCATCTGGGGCGTGACCCCTCTGGATAACGGAGACCCCCTGAATCCCAAAAATAAGGGAAAGCTGATGCTGGACAGCAGTTTTAACATTTCCAGTCCAGCGTCTCAACTCTGGATCCTCAACTTCTGTCAGAAGCTGAGGAACCAGAGTTTTGTTTTTCAGTCAGAGGAGCAGGACTTCACCAGCTGCTTTATTGAGACATTCAAACAGGTCAGTATGTCATTTAAACCAACAGGATATTTAAAAAAAAATCTCAGATGACTACTTGAATTTGGTACATTTTTATAAAAAAAAAAAAAATCTTCTCAGATGACTTCTTGAATTTGGTACATTTTTTAATCTAATGTCAAAACCTTTTTTTGAACAGTGGATGGAGACTCAGGACTGCACCGAGGGCTCCGTCTACCCCTGCTGCAGTCAGTCCACCTTCCCCTACAGGCCTGATGTCTTCGAGCTCTGTATCAAGAGGGCCATCATGGAGCTGGACCGCAGTACCAACTACCATCTGGACAGCAAGACCCCCGGACCTCGATTTGACATTAACGACACCATCAGAGCCATAGTGTTGGAGTTCCAGAGTACCTATCTCTTCACACTGGCCTATGAGAAAATGTACCAGTTCTATCGTGAGAAAAAAAAAAAAAAATCTTCTCAGATGACTTCTTGAATTTGGTACATTTTTTAATCTAATGTCAAAACCTTTTTTTGAACAGTGGATGGAGACTCAGGACTGCACCGAGGGCTCCGTCTACCCCTGCTGCAGTCAGTCCACCTTCCCCTACAGGCCTGATGTCTTCGAGCTCTGTATCAAGAGGGCCATCATGGAGCTGGACCGCAGTACCAACTACCATCTGGACAGCAAGACCCCCGGACCTCGATTTGACATTAACGACACCATCAGAGCCATAGTGTTGGAGTTCCAGAGTACCTATCTCTTCACACTGGCCTATGAGAAAATGTACCAGTTCTATCGTGAGGTAAGGAGCAAAGTTTTTACCTTTTTTTCTGTTGTATTATCCCATTGTATTTCTCCTGATATTAAAAACGTGCCGTTGTAGGTGGATGCCTGGATTACAGAGGAGCTGCGCTTTGCCCCCACGGGTCTGAGCCACGGTTGGTTCATCAGCAACCTGGAGTTTTACGACCTGCAGGACAGTTTGTCCGGCGGCACCCTGGTCGCCATGGCGCTGTCGGTGGCTGTGGCGTTCAGCGTCATGCTCCTGACCACGTGGAACATTATCATCAGTCTGTACGCCATCCTGTCCATCGCTGGGACCATATTTGTCACCGTGGGCTCCCTGGTACTCCTGGGCTGGGAACTGAACGTCTTGGAGTCGGTCACCATTTCCGTGGCAGTCGGTCTGTCCGTGGACTTTGCGGTCCATTACGGTGTGGCCTACCGTCTCGCCCCGGAGCCCAGCCGTGAGGGGAAGGTTATTTTCTCCCTCAGTCGCATGGGCTCCGCCATAGCAATGGCTGCGCTGACGACGTTCGTTGCCGGAGCCATGATGATGCCCTCGACGGTGTTGGCCTACACGCAGCTGGGCACCTTCATGATGCTCATTATGTGCATCAGCTGGGCTTTTGCTACCTTTTTCTTTCAGTGCATGTGCCACTGCTTGGGACCCCAGGGTACGTGCGGCCAAATTCCGCTGCCAGAGAAGCTACAGTGCTACACCTTCACTGAAACGGCCTCGGAAAACTCGTCATCTTCGGGCAAGGGCTCCGGCCAGGCGAAGTATCAGCTGGACAGCCACGGTGACCAGGTGGAGCACTACGAGCTAGAGCCGCTAGCATCCAGTCAGAAAACTGAGGAGCAGGAGGTGTGCGCTCAGCTCTATAATGGAATTCCTCATCATCACGGCTCCTTGTATTCACACATCCAATACAAGGGCAAAAACGACACGGCGAGAGCCGGGATGGAGAACGGCTTTGTTCCGAGGTGCCAGCACTCCCAAAACACAAACTGCACCTCTGGTGACCCCCTCTCTCCTCAGCGGGCCCAGCCGGGGACCCCGCATCCCTGTGCTCTGCCTCCGCAGGAATCGACCGCCAGTCCTCCCTCCCCTCAGCTCTGTACGCACTCAGGAAACACACCATGCAAACAAAACCCTTCCGTCTTAGCTCCCAGCCTGGACCCCGTCTACACACACCTGGAGTGCCCTATGCATTACATACACTGTCACCCAGCCCATTTCCATCAGTGCGCGCAGGGAAGAACGACGGCCAGGCCAGGACCAGTGCACGGCTACCATCTCAAAAGGTACTGCGTTCACTCCGGCCCAGCCAGAGAGCAGCGGTCCACAGAACCAGAACCGGCCTGTAGTCCGGAAGCTGTGGAACAGGAAGGAAATCATCCACCCAACATAAAGGAGTCGAGTAATGACAGTGGCCAAAGTACAGGCAACTCAGCCCCGACGCAGCATCAGCCTCGATGCCCGTCCCCCTCTCTGGACTCGTCGCACACAACTTGTCCGGAGAGACGGAAACCGAAAGAACCAGTCCATTGTTGTGGCGATAGAAATGTACGCACCACAACCGCAGGAACAACAATGCAAACGGACGCTTGTTGTAAAATCCCTGGCAACCAGGAGAAGCTCAAAAGTATTCCCGTCACACGGGAGGAAAGTGTCGGAAAGTTGACGTCGAAAGCAAAGTGCAATTCAGCTGCAGACGTCGAAAGCAAAGTGCAATTCAGCTGTTCAGCTGAAGTTCAACGTGCCAAAAAGTAAAACCAGCGTGCCTCCAATTGCAATAAACACTAATTCTACTGAGACGATGTGTTGACGATGATTTCGTATTTCAATGAAACTTCGCGCAGAACAAATACCCTACGTCTGGAGAAGAGAGAAAGAAAAAAAAGATACGGTGCATTCAGTGTCTCAATGGTTGTTTGAGATGTGTTTGCTGACTAAGTGCCTCAATACGTCTCGGAACAAAAACACACACCTGACGGAACCAGAAACCGTACGGCAAATACCGTCTCGTTTGTTAATGTAAATTCACGTTCAATCAAACAAACAAACAAACAAACAAACAACTAAACAAAGTCACATGTTACCAGCTGATAAGAGTCGCTCGCTGACACCGTCTTCGGTGTTGAACTCCCATCGTGCTGTTACTGTTTCCACATGCCTCAAGATAAGATGTACAATTAAAATACCTTTTTTTATCTCAGTCGTCCAGCTGTCTGCTCTATTGTCTCATCTCTTCGTCTCACACGCGGGCTGGTTTTTGTGTGTTGCCGGTGCCTCACATACAGACGTCGTACATTGTGTTTGAAACTGAAGCTTTTTTTTATAATGGTTTTATATATAAAGGATATGAGCTGTTCAGTAACCTGTATTCTTTCTTCACTGATTCTCCTTTCTAATAGAAAACAGACCTGGATTCACTGTTTCTATGAAGCCCCCAGTGCAGTAATTTAAGTCAAATGAGGCTTGGCTTGGTCCAGTTGAAAAAAAAACGTCCATGGAATTTTTGTAAAAAAAAAAAAAAACGTGAAGGATGTTAATTGGGAATGACGGGGATGCACAGGATTCGGCCCACGGGCCTCGAGTTTGAGTTCACTTATGCAAATGTTATTGTACAACGTTTTTAGGTTTGCAGCCTGGACACTACTTTCTGATTTTATATTTTTTTATAAGAAACATGACCCTCAACCACACATAGCGTTCAGATGGCGTTTGAGAACTGCGGTGATGTCAGCGACGATAATGTTGTGTGCCCTCCGGCGGGACGACGGCGTCGTAGACCGGGAGGGAAAAAAACGTTTGGACGGTCGTTCGGTCTTCAGTCGTCACACCCTGAAACCCGCAAATAAAGAAACTCCCAACAAACAAACAAACAAGCAAGCCACACAACCGACACACATTACATAATGAACCACACACACTGGGCTTGCTTAATGTTTCCGTGCCGAGGAAAACATCCAGTCCTTCCTCCGTCGCTCTCTCACAGCAGTGAAGACGAGTCTACTCCCCCTCCCGGGACGATCTGTCCTCAGGCCCATGTGAGCGTCTCTGTAATTATATTTACTTAAACAGAGGTCAAATATTAACCATGGCCGTGGGGCAGGGTTTATTACATTCCCCTGCGAGCCGGAGGGAATCTCAGAAGCATGTGTGTCTGTTCTGAGTATATTCTTCGGGCCTGAAATAACTGTGAAGAGGCCGTGGAGCAAAGAGCTTGTTTACAAGGCAAACATTTGCTTCTACTTTTCAAATTAGATTTTGGCGGAGCTGCAGTGCTAGGACAGATTGATGAGGGCGAAACGGCCTTTTCACTTCCCTCTCCTAAGATCGCTTTGAAGCTTGTGCGTTGCTCTCCGTTTCACACCTCCACTCCATAAATTTCTACTTAGAATTCCCAGGATCCCCTTACAAGTCAAAGCTGCAGTCCACGTCTTCGCACAGGCCTCCTGTCTGAGCGGTGCGATGTTCGAGTTCCTCACGGGAAAACAAATCCTACGATGGAGTTCTGTTTCCAAAGCAGCCCAGGGCTGTCATTTGTGGTGCAGTAAAAAGCAACTACTGAATAACTCCATGTCTACATGCTGTGTTTTTTTTTCCCCCCCTCCAAATGATGCTCATTTTAAAAGAGCAGTATGCCATTTCAAAAAGGCAGCACGGTGGAAGAGTGGTTCATCCTTCTGCCTTACACTGCAAGAATCGTGTAAATTGTTGTTTATCTTTAAGTCTACGTTGTTGTCATTGAACTGGGATTGAACGATGACAAGGATTAAGCAAACGGTTTGCGCCCCACAGTTTGGGAACCACAGGATGAAAAAAAAAAATTCCTAAGTCAAAAATTCAAGCAAAAAAAATGTTGGTTTCTCGTTGGTATGTTATAAAATCTTACACAAGTATTTTTCTCAATTTTATTTTTGCAAATGACATACTGCTTTAATACTTCCAATATTTAGTGTATTACAAAACCAGGAAATGTTTACATCTACTCCCAAACTTTTTTTTCTAGGGACCAATATTTTAAAGTCCCAAACCTTCGCGACCCAAGTCAATAGACATTATTCGTAAACTCCTGGGGAAACATGATGCGAGACGACCCAAAAAAAACCCCTCTTGCGCCCCCCCTGAGGGTCACGAACCACTCTTTGGGAAACAATGTATATAATATGCAAAACCAGACAACTGTGTATTCATTTTTAACACACAAAAAAACAACTATCATTAAACTTTTTTTTTTAGCCACTCAATTAATGAATTCTACAAATAAACTATTTCAAAAGTGAAAACAAAAAAAAAAACAAAATTAAATTCTAAAAGTGGTTTCCATTGGTTGGGGAATTGATGAACACTGACCCCACAACTTCCACTGATGATTTTTATTTATTTAGTTTATTGTGCATTGTTTTATTTTTTTTATTTTTTAATGGACTTTTGTGCTGGTATCTTCATTTGCTGCCATGTGATTGGCTGATTGGTGCATATAAATCTACATCATTTATTTAACCCTGGGGGCTGCTAAATGTGACTGTGGCTGGTTAAAAACTCCAGCTACAGTCAATAGCGTGGAAAGAGCACGTGGGACAGATATTAATGTACTACGTGTCGTGTATTATCAGCAGGGGCCCGAGGACAGGCTCTAATGTTCACAACAGCTGCCTCATAAAGGCTGGGAGGACGGCGGATGCCGGGGCCAACAGGACGGAAGCTGTCCTCTGCCCGGTGGCTTCCTGTTTTCAGACACACACTGCTCCAATGAAAGGGAACCGAGTGACCTCGAATTCACTCTCAGCTTACACTCCCACAAACCCCCAGCGCTCCGCAACGCCACATCACCGGCAGCTGCTGCGATGAGCCGGTGTGAGGGTGCGACACACCCGGCGCCATTATAAACAGTCTGTTAGTGGTGATGACTGATCCCTCACTAATGAGCACCTCACTCCTTCGACGGTCACCTCTGTTTAAGTGAACTAGAAAGTGGCCGACTTACGCCATCTAGTGGACAGAGGTAATAGTACAGTGGTTTGCAATTTTTTTTTTTTCAATTTTAGAACTAATTTTGCATCACGTTTGTTATACTGTGTTGCAAATACAGAGTAGTAGAATTAGTAACTCATATAGCTGTTGCTTGTGCAGTCACGTGATCGCAGTTGTGAATCAAGATGCTGCGTTTTATTAGAATATATAAATGAGTGTTCATATTTATTTCATTTCTATTCATGAGAGTGAAATTTTAGTTTAGTTAAAAACATTTACAGTAAAATTATTTATCAGTATTTATTTCAATTAATTACTAGACTTTTCAGGCGACCTCATTTGAATTCCAGGTGACCAAACATGGGGTCGCGACCCCAAGGTTGAAAAACATTATAGTACGTGTGCTTTGCATTAAACCTTTTCCGCCCATTAATCATGAAACGGTAGTAAGAAGTTCACAAACTTTTATTACAAAAATATATCACTATTTGACAGTGCAATATTAATGTGTATTCTAACATTTTTCAGAGTACAGTTTGGTTATACGTCTGTCCTGTGTAAGGAACAGCTGGAGAGTCCATTGTCACATAAATCAATGGATATGTATGTATTTTTCTGGTATGGTGGAGTAGGCAAGAATCGACTCAAAACGTCTAGTAAAATTACATTTTTTTTACTTTATTTATTCCACATAGCTAAAATACAAGATGTACACAAACCACATATTACCTAATATCACAAGTACATACTACCTTTCCGTACATAGGATTAACATATATTCAGTAGACTTGCATTCATAACGGCTACAACCAAAGTTTTTCATTGACTTTACTCTTATTTTCTGACCTGTATACACCTGGTAAGTTTTAGTGTCTTCGTAGCCCATTCAGAGTCTAACTTCTCTGAGCTCCTCCAGCTGGACATTGTCCTGAGGTTGATTTTGCTCTTGCACAGGTGGAGCTCTGTCCTCTGCTAACTTGTTTGTCTTTGTGTTCTTCAGTAGTTTGGTCTCCAGCCGCTCATAAAACCAGCCCAGGTCTTGGGGGTCCTGCGGCCACACGAGGTAGTCTCTTTTCTGGATCAAATCTCTGATGGCGTTGTACTTCATCAGCTGGTACTGCGTCACCTTTGCGTCATCAAAAAGAGGTGAGTTATTCAAAGTGGTTTTCCTTCTGCTGCGAGAACGAATCAAAAGTATATAAGTGACGCCCTCTGCTGGTGAAGGACACGCATTGACCAGTAAATCCTGTGTCCGTCTCTCCCTTGGATGAAAGTAAATAGTATGTAAAAAAGACTGGATTTTTTTTTTTTATGTGAATAGTATGTGAAAGCCTTTATCGTGTTTTTTTTTTTTTAAACTGTCCTACCTGGTTCAGTTATTTTGGCTTTTAATTTTTTTTTCAATGCACAGTTCTGACAGTAACAGGAATTGGACCAGCAACCCTTGACTTACCTTGAGCTCTCTATACCAGTTACCATGAGGTTCTTACTCATCTCTGCATCCGTTTTTTTTCTCTTAAAATGCATAATATAACAATACGTGACCCTCAATAGGAGGCCCGTGGGCCACTTTTGGCACGTGACCCAGCTATTTATGGTCCCCGAACTGTGGTCCTTCACTGTGTGTTTTGGTTTAGTAAACACGTGTAAATGTGGACTTTCATCTCCATGCTTCTGATGCGCTAGCCTGCCAGCGCAAATGGATGCCGCACCAGTAGCTTCAGTGCTAACACTTTGTGAACTTGCACTGATATTTCGCCAGCAGTAGGAGCCTCCCTGGGAGAAAACCAAGGGAATGGTTGGAGGCTTTAAATATTGGTCTGTTAAGTAGTTCATGCATACCTTCCCAACCACCAGTAAAATCAAGATGTCTGTCAATTCCTCCAGCATCCGACTCTGAGCCACAGTGAACGCCTCCACACACCAGCCGTCTGGAGGAAAAAAGACATGAGCTTCTTAGTTTTTATTTATATATATATATATATGTGTGTGTATATATATATATGTGTATATATATATATATATGTGTATATATGTGTGTGTGTGTATTTGTTTGTGTATATATACACTGTTTGCATATACACACATATACTGTATGTATATATATGTATATATATTTCTATACACATAGTACATATATACGTATATGTATATATGTATATATATGTACAGTATATATGTATGTATGTATATACGTATATATATATATACATATATTTGTATATATATACATATATGCATATACGTATACATATATGTAATATATTTGTATATATACATATATATGTACATATATATATGATCTTGTCTTATGGCTTTTTGCAACAGTGACGATGTTCAATTCTCCAACAGTCATTTCTGTCACCAGTATCACACTGAACCGTGGTTTACCTTTAAGGAACTCCTTGGAGACGACACAGAGGGTTTTCCTGCTCCCCCAGACTGCATTTCTGATGTTGGAAAGGTGATCCTCGCCGGGCAGGAAGTCTCTGGCCTCAAAGCAGCAGCGGAAGATGTTTTCCTCTGAGAAATTGTTGTCCAGTTTTTTCAGTAGAGCAGCCTCCACCCACATGTAGTCACTGTTGCTAAAGCAGAGGAAGGCGTCATACTGCACTTCCTCCAGGGGAGGCGCCACCTTCGGGCCCTCCACGACCCTGCTCACCAGCTTTTTGTAGATGACGAATATGCGTCCGCGCAGACGGGCGTAAACGATGCCACCCAGGGTGAAGGCAGTAATGAGGAGGGCGGATAACACGAAGAGGGCTAACTTTAGCTCCTGGACGGACATTTCATCGTCGACCTCACACGGCTCCACCACCGTGGTGTAATTCAGCAGAGGCAGGTCGTGGAGAGCAGCTGGAAACTCACACCTGTGTGTCTCCGGAGGGCTCGTCACGACACTTGTCGCGTTGAGCCACAGCAGGAAGCTCTCTAGGTTACAATCACAGTGAAACCTGTTTCCTGCCAATTGGAGAGATACGAGGGACTTAAACGTCACGGGATCTGGAAATGCTATAAAATTGTTTGAAAGGTCCAGTTGTTCCAGGCTGGCTGGGAAAACATCTCGCTGCAGGGAGGTCAAGGAGTTGGACGAGAGATCCATTTCTAATATGGAGACCAGGCCTTTGAAGATCCCCGGAGGCAGAGACGTGAGTGAGTTGAGGCTCATATCAAGAGCAAGCAGATTGGTCATATTATCAAACAGGTCCAGACAGTTCCCTTGGCCCCAGATGACCTCCAAAGAACTGTCCTTGAGAATGAGCAGTTGAAGACTGTTATTATATGGAATTAAACTGTTCTCTGTTAGCGAGCACCACTTGATGAAGTTGCCGCTGTAGAAAAGTTTCTGCAGACGCCTAAAATAAGTCATCATGATATACACATCCTCCATGTTTGTCAGCCTGTTGTTCCTTAGATCCACGAAAGTGCTGCTCACTCCTATATCAGTGATGCTGCTCAGGGAGTTCAACTTGTTGTCGTCCAGAAGGAGAATTTCCAAGTTTGGTAAAGTCGCCGGGAACCCAAGGTCTCGCAACGAGTTTCCACTCAGAAACAACCACGATAAATTAGGGAGATCACTGAAGGCCTTGTATCCCAGTGCACCGATGTGGTTGTAGGACAAATCCAAGATTATAAGTTGGGTCAGATCGGCGAACGTGTGAGAATAGATTTCTCCCAGAAGGTTGCTCGATAGGTTGAGCATTTGCAAACTTCCCTGAAGACCATAAAAGGCTTTCTTTTTAATTTGGTTAATTTTATTTTTGGAAACGTCAATGATTCTTGCAACCTTCAGGGGACTGAAGACTGCCTCCTTGAGGTCAAAGATGAAGTTTCCACTCAAATCTAAATAGTCCACGGAACTGTTTTGGAGACTTTCAAATGTGCTTTTGTCTGGATCGGGAAAATTGTCATGGGAAAAGCCTTTACCCATGTGTCCCGAGAATTTAAGGTGAGTAATAGGTGTCCCGTTGATAACTTCGAAAAACCTCGCCGTCTTGTTGACATTGAACCCATTGGTGGACATGTCAAGGAAATCAAAGGCCATCTCTTTGAAAGGGTTTCCACATCCTTCCAAACTTGTGTCGTACATTCTGGCTATACGGTTGGACTCCAAATTCATGTTCGCGAAGCGTTTTCCCCTAAAGCCGACAAGATCTTCTTCACACAGTCTCTCGATCTGATTTAATTTAAGATTTAACACGCTTAACTTTGAAAGTCCCGTAAAAAACAGACCAGGTCGGAGCAAGGTTATTTGGTTCCCAAAGAGATCGAGTAACTCTAGTGAGATAAGCGGCTCGAAGTAGCTGTCTGCCAGTATGGAGTTGTTCAGAGTACTATAGTCCAGAAAGAGATACTGCAGCCTAACCAGTCCGGCAAACGCCCTGGGCTCCAGCTTCAGACCAACATTGTAGCCAAGAACCAACTTAACCAACTTCCTCTGACTGAGGAAGGCATCGTTTCTGATGACAATGCTGACTCTTTGGCGTCCAAGATCTAATTCCTGCAGTTGGTCATAGAGACTGAGGGAGGTGCTGTTAATGTCACTGATGTAGTTAAATTCCAGGTAGAGGGCGATGATATTCGCAGGCAGGACAGGAACCCAGTAGAGGCGTTTTGCGGCGCAATTAGCTATAAGTCCGTGTAGAGGACATGGCGAGGAGCCTGTATTAACCTACAAAGACGAAGGTGGGAAATATTTTAACAAGAGCAAAACGTCCTGACAGTTCCCAGCACCCACACGGAAAGTGATTTATCAGATTGTTTACCTCTAAATTGGACCACCGTTATTATAAAAAGCTAAATTGAACATATCAACATCGAAGTTCAAATATTTGTATACTTTAAGGGCTTTACTTTACAAACTTTACCCCTCAAATCCTCGGAAGATAAATCAACGTGTACTGCTTTGCTAAGTAACAGGAACTTTCAGATGTTACATTGTAACTCAACAAATCTTCAAATCCCGCCTTCACATGCTAGGAATGCAACCCAAAGTGTATGAAAAGATCTGATCCAAATTTTCTAGCAGTTTTGATGAAAACTGTGATCTTGTTCAAAAATTTAAAAACAAAAATTAGGAACTGTTGGCCTATTAATGCCTCAGCCTGAATTCAAAGATGACCCAGTGTTAACTTTTTGAGAAAGAAATTCTGTCTACCTGTAGACAAAGCCCAATGAGAACCAACCAAAGCGTCAGTGTCCACATTCTGTCCTTCGTGTCCCGTCAAGACCTGCACGAAAATGGGACAAAAAATAAGTGGTTCATGTAATGTTTACATAACTAATAAGTCAAATATTAACTCTTAAAAACTGAGGAAGCCGCTGCTTTCTTTTCCTTCCCTAATTCTTGCTCAATAAAAGAAGCCCCGCAGTCTGCAGGAAATGTTGACAGATTGTGACACAGCAGCAGGAGACACTTGAGATACGTTCCCACCCTCAGTCTTTTATACACAGAGATTCATTCTTACTGCATGAAAAAAGCTGGAAATGACTGAAAGATTTCAAACAAATCCCAGCCTTGGTGATTAGCACTGAGCTAAAACTGTTAAAGGACGTTCCTTTTAAACTCAATCCTAATTCATGCATTTCATGCAAATATGATGAGCTGGTGTGATGCTGTCATGGCTGCCACTAGGGGGAGCCCTTTGGAGTGTTTTTTTTTTTTTACGTGGGATTTTCCCACCCAATAAAGACTTGGAAATAGTGAAATAATTTTGCGAGGGCTTCGATCGAGTGAAGTAGCGATGAGGTGTTGCTGCTGAGCCCATTTGCTTTAGCTGTTTGCTTTGGCAGGTTCATAGTTCACTGCAGCAGGAACAACAATCTTTTTCTCTGTATGAGGTGTGATTACAAAGCTCGGCACAAAGAGTTTCGTGTTTGCCTTGAGCCAACACATGAGACGTGCAGGCGGCAGAATAGATGGTGGAAACTAATTAGCAAAGAGGCTCCTCAGCTTTTATCTCATCTTTTACAATAATGTTTCGAGCAGAGCAAACCCACGTTTCTGGCCTGCGTTTGATAAGATTGAGGAATTTACATGGTGGATAATGAATGTTCAGAAGCAGAATGTTGTAGTATCTATCACTAACTACACTTTTAGTGTAACTGAACAATTACGTGTGTGAGTTTTGTCCGTCTCCAGGCAGAGGTGGAAGTCGATACTTCATAACGTTTCAACAAACGCACAAGAAGATATGGTTTTAGCGCCCTGTTCTCACGATAACACAACATTGCATGATTGAGTGTACATTAGGGTTAGGCAGTGGTTCCCAGACTTTTTTGGCCTTTGACCCCATTTTGACGTAACAAATTTCTGGTGACCCCAGAGAGTTTTTCTTTTTTTTCTTTCCTAGAATTAGTTTTCGATCATGTGTGTTATACTGTGTTTGAAAATACACAGTAGTCCGATTAGTGCTAACATGAACACTGGCGAGTTTGTCTTTACAATATATTTTATTAGTAATTTTAAAAACTCAATCCTTAAACATTTCAGTCGACCCCAATCGAATTCCAGGCGACCACACGTGGGGTTGCGTCCCCTATGTTGAAAAACACTGCAACATGTAAACATGCTACATTCTAACTATCTTCAACACCTTTGACAAGTGTTGTTTAATTTTTAATGACGTTTCAAAGTTCCAAAAAGTGTCTATAACGAAATGCACTTTTAAATAAACGAGGTTTGAAAATGGAGGAAAACGACTATGTCAGGTACGACATTGCACAGAAGTGCAACACGTACAAAATGCTAAGACAGGGACGCGTTGTTGGGCAAAAATGCTGCAAACTCTTAAGCAATCAATGCTGCAACTAACCCTGTGATTTCTTCCTCCATAGGACACGCGTGGAAGCGCTTCCGTGGCTGTGTTGTTGTTTACGGATCAGAGGTAACTAACGAGTCCAGGCGAACTTTTATTTTGGAGAGATTTCTCCGTATTTCCTTTCTCGTCTTTGAAACACTATGCTGCCTTCACAAAGACTTCTAAAAATGATTACTTATTACCATTAATATCCTCGGTCGTATTTGTGTCCTGCTGTGGCGGTCGTCTTCTTGTCACTGTGTAAGCGTAGTATTTTTAATGGAATAAAGTACTTACCTTCCACCCGTCTGCCCCTCAGACCGCGGTGTTCGGAGTTGAAACACACCTCACACTCGCTAATTTGCCCTGTTCAAGTTAAGGACACATAAAACAGAGCGTCCTGTTCTGCTGCTGGCTGTCTTAACAGGAGGAATGTCTCCGTTTCCGCTATGGCGCAAAAATATTCTACCTCTTTTCCTGCTGCTGACACAGTGTATGTTTAGAGGGACACACAGACAGACAGGTCGACAAGAAAATAGATAAATATTTTAAAGACAAAAACGCCACTGGACTTAAAGTCTTTCTATCTATCTATCTATCTATCTATCTATCTATCTATCTATCTATCTATCTATCTATCTATCTATCTTTCTTTCTATCTATCTATCTTTCTATCTATCTATCTTTCACTCTATCTATCTTTCTGTCTATCTAGCTATCTAATCTAATCTAATCTATCTAAATCTCTGTTTTTGCTGCACTTCACCCTTTTCTCCACTCGGTGTCGCACTCGGTGTGTTGCACTCGTATCACGGAGCAGATGTGAGACACTTGTGGCATCATTATTATAATTGTAGTGCTGGTTCATTTAGCACGCACACTAGCCTGCATTCAAAATAGTACATTTGTCCTGAATATCTTTTTAA